ATAAATTTTAATCGTAAACACAGCTACAGTTTTAAAAATTCTGGGCATAACTCCAACTTTGAAAAATCATATAAAATCAACTAAAATACTAAATTGCAAGATTTCAACTTCCAGAGAAAGCTTATAACATGTACTACAAGTTTTATGTTGATTATATTTTCACATTGTCAAAAACAACTCAACATCATGATTCACAATTCTACCGAAATTTCAAAACTGCTCGCAGTTACAACTTAAAAAATTCATAATAAATTCAATTCAACTCTGAATCATGAAATTTTAAAACTCACAGAAACCTAACTCAATGCACTACAAAATTTTGTGCAGAACTCTTAACCAGAAAACAGCTTTTAGGCCACGATAATCCGAGAACAAACAGAGGCTATAACGAGAAGTTCTCATACGATTTTCAGCACAAAAACATAATTTCATGTACGTAACATCAGGGGTCACATGTAATCACAATATACAAATCATGTACGCACATATACAATACAAGATAGTCAGCCCTAACATGATTTTTAACACAAATTCACATAAACTCATACGATCACCACATAATACGTTTTAAAGAATCTCAGTCGTGCAATAATCGTCAAGTTCAATCATATAAGCATGCTTTTCATAACATCAACTTTAACATCTCGAGTCTTATAGAGCCACAACATCATGCTTAACTACAAATTCATACCTTTTAAAAGTGTGTGCCTCGCAGCTAGCTCACAAGATATTCACGCGATGTCGGAGCAATCCACTCGTCCTATGGATGACGTCGTCGTCTTTCATCCATGCATCAATCTTCAGGACTTAGGCTCGATCTAACGTAACAAGAATTATCAACCATCGTCCCTCTCGAGGCTTAGCCACTCTCAAGAGTTACGACGGTGATACGCGTTAGATTCTCCTAAACTATGGGGTTTGATTAGTAACCAATTCGCAGCATCTAAACGACACTCACGATCCTCGACGACTGAGGTTCTAATTTCCCGAGTGATCTTATACACTAGAGATTCACTCGGTACTTAACCTTTCTCTTTCGAGATGGGTCACGAATGGTCCTACTCTAAGGACACTGAACGAATCTTATAGTGAGAAAATGCTATAAACATCACTTATCTCAATAATAATATACTGAAACTCACAACTAAGAATCTCTAGAGTCCGAACTTAACTCTATATCACTAGAGTTCAATGTAAAACACTAGAGTTCACATAACCTGAGGTGGATAGATTTCCTAAGCCCCAAAACAACATATAACAGCATATCACTTCATAAATAGTCTCATTGTTACTCATGCAAAACCTCATAAGTAGTTTCATTGCTACTCATGCAAAATCACAATTCACATTATAAGTATTTTCATTGATACTTATAAAACATACCTTAAGCAGCGCGGAGTGACGGAGACGAGTGGTCGAACACAAGGGTCACAATCACATAATTACATATATATGAAATTTCACACATAGAGCAGTCTACAGAAACGCAGACTGGCTCTGATTCCAAACTGTAACACCCCACTTTGATTTTAAAGAAATTCGGGACATTCTAAAAATCGGAACAAATTTTTTTTTGAATACATTTTCAAAATCAAGGGCATTAACCAACACATCTTTACTTAGTCCAAGTCTTATCTGGACCCACGGGGATTCATAAACCCGATTTTTACAAGGTTTTCACTAACCTGATTCATACCTCGACATAATATTCAATATGAACAATTATAACTTCATAAATCAACACCATGATTATTCAAGGTTCGAAAAAGGTTTTTCAAACTATTCCCGAACATCAAAACATAACATAGTTCGAAAACAGTTTTCACATGTCCAAATCATAGAAAGGTTCATAGTAACCATATTATTAAAGTGGAAGCAAAACGAAACAGTAAATAGACCACCACTCGCCCTTTGTCCCGTCACCCGGCCACTGCTTAACCTGCATCCGTGAAGATCAGGTGGAAATGAACAAAAATGATAAAGTAGTGCTCACTACTATACACATAATAACATGAAAAGATGGTATGGTCGCAGTATGAATATAAATCAATCATCATCATGTCTCATCTCCTAATAATCACAACAATAACTCACTCATGTGCACATCTATCATTAGCCGCAGAAAGAGGATGCATAAACCCTAACGACGGGAGTGTGTGCCACTGTAACAGACACGGCCTTTCATTTACGTTATTTATGCATTATTGAATATTGAGGATTGAATTATTGATAAGGAGGTGCTCCTTAGATATTATGAATTGGAGAAACCCGATTTGGATGTTGACATTATTGATGAACCCGTTTGGGAGTTGAAATTATGACTGAATTTATGATATCATTGATGATTGATTATGAATGGTTTTAAAAATGAGTAGCGCCGCCAAATGATTTGAAATAAATTTAAAAAATTTATACTGATTTTCGGCAAATAAAAGTGGTCGCTTTGTTCGAACCACGAATTAGTGGTGGTAATGCCGACAATTTTGTAAGATACAGTAAATTCGCGAACTCGTTTCGGGTGGAAGCTCGGAGGTTCTCTGGCGGCATATGGATTTTATGGAATGACGAGGTCACTTTGGAAGTGTTGGGGTACACAAGACAACTGGTGCATGTTCGGGCCTGCAAGAATGGCAAGACTTGTCTTATATCCTTCATTTATGCGAGCCCCAACCCAGCTCTTCGACATCAGATGTGGAGGGATCTAGATAGACTGGCTGGGGAAACATCAGATCCTTGGCTTATCGGGGGCGACTTCAACTGCCTCATGCATCGATCGGAAAAGATGGGTGGTTCTTCCAGCCATTGCAATGTAAGCAAGGAATTCGGTGAGTGGGTGTTTTCAAACAATATTCAGGACGTGGCTACGGACGGTCACCTTTTCACATGGGTTCGAGAGGGCCCGGCCGGGAGAGTTACGGAAAAGTTAGATAGATTTGTGGCGAATATGGCATGGCTGGATAAATACGAGACGAGCTGGGTCCGGATGCTCCCTCGCATCCAGTCCGACCACTCGCCCCTATTGCTAGGATTTGGTATTGCAAGTCTCGTCCCCCCAGGAGTTAAGCCTTTACGCTTTCTGGCGGCATGGCTCCTTCAGCCGGGATACACTAATATGCTTCAAGCCTCGTGGAACCCCTCTATTGGTTTTATCGATGCGGCTAAAAATTTTGCGGCTGATGCTAAGGATTGGAATTTTCAAGAATTTGGTAATATTTTCCAACGTAAGAAACGGCTCATAGCCCGGATTGGTGGAATCCAACGTAGTCGGCAAAAATACTTCTCAGCCCGCTTGGAGAATTTAGAGAGGCAACTACGTGCGGAATTGGATGATGCCATACTCCAAGAGGAGTTGCTCCTCATTCAAAAATCGTCTCGTGATTGGATGCACTTGGGAGATCGTAACACTTCGTATTACCATCAACACCTGAAAATCTAGCGACGGAGGAGCAAAATAACGGAGCTTGTGAATGATGCCGGGAATATTATTGCGGACCCGGTGCGTCTCCAGCAACTCGCCACAGATTTTTTCAAGTCCATCTACACGGAAATTTTGGCCATCGCTGTAGCCGAGCTGATGTCTCACTTCTCTACAGTATGTTCCGTGGACTCGGTGGAAGCCATGTCCGAGATGATTTCGGAAGGAGAGGTCCTCTCAGCGCTTAACAGTATGGGCTCTTTGAAGGCCCCGGGGCTAGACGGCTTGAATGCGCTTTTCTTTAAAAAGAGTTGGGACACCAAAGGACCATCCGTGATGAATTTTATTCGTCACATGTGGACCACCGGGGAAGTCCCTCGCGAGGTAAACCGTACCCTCCTGGTCTTGATCCCCAAGGTAGAAAATGTAACCTCGATTCGGCAATTCCGGCCTATCAGCTTACTCAACGTCATCTACAAGCTATTCACGAAGACATTGGTGAACCGCATGAAAGCTACACTTCCAGAACTCATTCACCCAACACAAGTAAGCTTTGTCCCGGGAAGAAACATTATCGATAATATCGTTGTTGCACAAGAACTCATCCATTCCATGCGGCGCAAGAAGGGAGATACGGGCTTTATGGTGGTCAAGGTCGACCTTGAAAAGGCCTATGATTACCTTAGTTGGGCCTTTATTGAGGATACGCTTCGGCTAGCTGGCTATCTCGTTTGTATGATTACGGCCATCATGGCCTGTGTGCGGTCGGCTTTTATGAGTTTGTTATGGAATGGGACGGTAGGAGACGAGTTTTGCCCTACCAGAGGAGTCCGACAGGGAGACCCTATATCTCCCTATCTTTTTGTGTTGTGCATGGAGAGACTCACCCAATTGATTGATAAGGTGGTCAATGAAAATGTTTGGAGACCAATCTCAGCCGGTCGTGGAGCAGTTAAGGTCCCCTTTCTGATGTTCGCTGACGACCTTCTCCTCTTCGTGGAGGCCTCGGCAACCCAAGTTGGGGTTCTTAAACGGACCCTTGACCTTTTTCGTTACTCATCGGGCCTTAAAGTGAGCTCGGCTAAGACGCAAGTATTCTTCTCGAGTAACGTGGCGCTTGCTGGTCAACATTTGTTGGCAAATTTACTAGACTTCAATTGGACGGACAATTTGGGAAAATACTTAGGCGTCCCCGTTCAACATGGCCGGGTCAATAAATCTACCTTCTCCCATATTTTGGACAAGGTGGAAACGAGACTAAACGGGTGGCGCATGAATACTCTCTCCTTGGCTGGTCGGGTGACCCTCACCCAATCCGTGCTTTACTCGATCCCTTACTATTCCATGCAATCTGCTTTATTGCCTAAGTCCCTGACCCATAGGATTGAAAGCCGCAGCCGGTCTTTCGTATGGGGAGGTGCTGACGCGAAGCAAAAAATCCACTTGGTCGCATGGTAGGACGTTTGTAGACCCAAGGAGGAGGGGGGTCTAGGCATTAAAGATTTGAGTCAAATGAACCAAGCATTTTTTGATGAAGCTCGGGTGGGGGATTATAACAAAAAATAGTGCATTATGGACGAGGCTCATGTTAGCAAAGTACCAGACCGCCTTCTCGAATACCGCGAGTACCACTCAATGTTCCCATGGATCGCCGCTCGCAAAAGCGCTGTGCAAGGTATGGCCAGAGGTTGTTAAACAGGTTCGATGGTCGTTAGGGAATGGGGAAAAGTGTCGATTTTGGCTTGACCCTTGGCTGGGCTCGATCGGACCGCTCATCCACCTTGTGTCTCACCAGCCATCTGTGAGTAATATCCAGGCCCCGGTCGCAGAGTTTATCGATGACATCGGTAACTGGAAGTGGGACTCCTTCCATGGTTATCTACCGTCGACCGTTGTTATGCGTATAGCCAGAACATTCCCGCCACGACCCACTGCAGGTCCTGATCGCATCATGTGGGCACCCTCCCAGAATGGTCAATTTTCAACTAGCACGGCCTATCAGGCGTTAAACCCCTCGGATCGTCCACCGGAGGCCCCGTTGTGGAAATCGATATGGCGGGTACAAGCTCCCCAACGGGTCCGCACCTTTCTGTGGTTGGCGGCCAAGGAGCGTCTCCTTACAAATGAGGATCGGGTTCGGCGACATATCTCCGGGTCGGATCTCTGTGAAGAATGCGGAGAGAAGGAGACGGTGCTGCACGTCTTACGTGATTGCAAGTGTACCAAGAGCTTATGGAAGCAGCTCATTCCGGCTGGGCAGCTAGACGACTTTTTTCTGCTGCCGCTGCAACAGTGGCTTCGGCGAAATCTGTTAATGGCGAAGTTAGGGACGGTTCTGGACTGGGGCAGCTTATTTGCGTTTACGTTGTGGAGCTCGTGGCATTGTAGAAATAATAGGATCTTTAATAACCGCACTTTGAGTGGTGTGAACAGGCGGCAGCAGGTTTTAAGCCTCATGGAATCGTATGCACGAGCGTGCACCGCCTATAGGCGCGTTGGGGCTACCATGTATGAGGTGCGACTCATTCATTGGTCGTATCCTGAGCCGGGGTGGATTAAAGTGAACACTGATGGGTCTTATGATGGCAATACGGGTCTTAGCGGAGCTGGAGGATTATTGTTGACATCGTTTTCAGTAAACCGAGTTAAGCAACACTGATCAAGTGATTATGCTCAGTAGGAGGAAGATTATGTTCGTGCAAGTGGAAGACATCTTCAAGGATCCCAAAACAATCACATATTGGGTGAAAATTGATCAAGAACCGACATCCCCATCAACTGACCGATATCTCATATCGGTTATGACATGTCGGTTACAACATGTCGGAAATGACATATCGGTTATAACTACACGAGCCAATATCCATGACTTACCAAACCGACACCATAAGGCGGTGCCAACTCAGCACAACTCATCATTATGTCTGGCCAAGTGGCATGCTACTAAGATGAATGGCAATTAGCCACCGTTGACTATTCTCATGTAATGATTATATTGCTGATAAGTATTCTAAGTTGATATAAAAGGAGAAAATAGATTCTCCAAAAAAACACGAAAAATATACAATACTATCCAAAAAATTCTGTTTCGTTCAGACTTTCATATGTTCTTTGCTAATCAATCTTGAACACACGACGGACTTTTCATTATCATATAGTTGTTAATTACCGTATTACAACAGTTTGGCGCTAGAAGGAGGGCCTCATCACGTTTTGAGGTTAACTTTCGCTGTTATAGCCATTTCTGCGCTCGAAGTCACCATGTCGCAATCTGGTCGAGATCATACAGCTCATCCTGGCCAGAGCCAATCGACTAATCATTCCCCACGGCGTTCAACACCACCTCCTCCGGTCACAAATATCACTAACTTCCTTCAAAACCCAGAGTTTATTTAAGGTTTAACCTCTCTTATAGCTCGAGCCATGCCCAGAAACTCGAGTACTGTACCATTATCAACGCCGTTTACTACCAATCCAACAGAACATCCAAACCATACTCATCATGACCCTGAAATACATGCGGCGACATCCCATGCTACGTCACAACCACGCCATACTTCTCCGCGTCGAGAGAAGTTAACTCGTATAACCGCTAACCCAGTAACAAACAACCAGGCCGCGGAGGAACCTTCTGTTCAAGAAATGACTGCTGAGAGTCATTCTGCTCATCGTCAAAGAATTCCGTCACGACCCAGACCAATTTCACCGGTGCCTCGCGACCGTGAAGATTTACGAAGTCGGATAGAACAGAATTGTATGTCGAGACATAGTGCTGAAGAAATTGAAGTTCTCCGCAAAAGGTTGGCTGAAATTGAGACTCGACAGAAGTCACAAGAAAGTTCTCCCCGACATGTCTCGACGTCGGGAAATGTTCTTATTGAAGCTGACTCGCCTTTAGCTCCAGAACTTACTGCAGAGGCGCTCCCTCCTAAGGTAAAGATTCCACAAATTGGCATGTATGACGGAACTTCGGATCCAGACGCGCATTTGGGTCATTATGCGTCATGGATGGACTTGCACGGAGCCTCGGACGCTTTGAGATGTCGGATGTTTTCACTTACACTGGGGCCGCGGGCGCAAAAGTGGTACTACACACTTCCACCTCATTCAATTTGGAAGTGGCAACAGTTACGTGCAGCTTTCCGATCACACTTCATCGGAGCTCAAGTTTGCCTTATTCCAAAAGAATCGATCACTAACATTGTCCAAAAGGAGGACGAAACCGTAAAGGACTACGTATCCCGATTTAACGACCGAATTCAGAACATGGAACCCTGTCACCCTGAGACTCTACTAGTGACTGCAATTGCCGGATTAAAGCCCAATTCGATGTTTCGCTGGACCTTATGTCAGAACAAGCCAGCTACCTTTCAAGAATTCCTCGTACGAGCTCAACAATTCATGATCGCCGAGGAGTCGATGTCGGTCCCTAGTTTTGACTTCTCGGTAAAGGAGAATAAGAATGAATTAGACGCGAAAAAGAAGAATAAGAAAAATTTTGGGAAAGCGCAATATCGGAATTATTCAAAAGGATATAAAAATACTCCGGAATTCAGAGCTGCCCGAGACCAATATGCCGACAATTTGAGAACAGGCTATCAAACCGTCTACTCGGCCGGAGCAGCTACCATTTTTGAGGAACTGAAAGAAAAGGGGATTATTCCTGATCCGAAACCAGTAAGAACGTCTAAAGACAAGCTGGACAAATCTCGATACTGTGCGTACCATAAATCTCCGGGACACAGTACCGATGAATGCCCTTGGCCTCTTATCGGCCCTTTTACACTTGATTGGACAGCCTCAATGTAACACCCCACTTTGATTTTACAGAAATTTCGAATTTTCCAAAAACCAGTATAAAATTTTCAAAATCATTTTCGAAAATTTAGTGGGTGTTAACTAATATTTTTCATATCCCAAGTCTTATCTGGGCCTACGGGGATTCATTACTCGGTTTTCA